CCGATACCCTCCCAGCTTTTATTCAGCCTTCCTTATTCAGTAGATTAATAAAATGAATAGATCCATTTACAAGAGTATAAGATATAGTCATTCAAATGTCCTAGGAATTCCAAGAACTGTATTTAATTCACTGCTATATTTACAAAATTTTTTTTAGTATTATCTAATTCAGTATCTTTTTCCTCAAAAGTTTAATAAAAGACCTCTTCCTTATTATTAGGCTCATTAATTCCTTATTGAGCATTCCTTTCTCTCCTACTTTTATTTTTCCCATAAAAAATTATAAAATGATAAAATCCTTTACCATTATTGTTCTTACTCTTCTTACTTTGTACTCTATGAGCATATGCTCTATGTTGTATCGATTTTCATATAAAACTGATATTTTCAAACTGGATTGATAAAAACAAAGATTGTTATGCATAAAGAAGCAGAAGTATGCAAGTTGTTATTTTCTCTTATGTGAAGAAGCAGCTAGGTTATTTAGTATACTCTAAATATGTGTCACTGGTTGCACAACCACAACGAACTAATATAGAAGTCCTAATTATATGGTTTGTGAATTTTTTTCCTTTCTCTCCACCTAGGTTTTGTGTGTGTGTGTGTGTGTGTGTGTGTGTGTGTGCATGAGCGTGTGTGAAATCATTTGGCAAGAGACAGGTAACAAAATAATCACAGAAATAAATTTAATTAAGGGCTAGAAATTTTGCGTGTTTATTAAATATAATTAAATGTAATTCAAATAAATAGATGAAATGTTCTATTGTGGGAAAATAAGTAAGAGAGAGGGAGGGAGAAAAGAAGGAATCGATCTTTTACTAATGACAGATTTCTGACCTGATCAGAGAAAAATAAGGCACAGAAAATTCTTTCAGTTCTCTTTAGGTATTTTCTAGGGCAGTTTAAGCTATAGCATTAATTACTTAATCTCATTATATTTTCATCATCAGTGATTATGGATTACCAAGAAGTGAAGACAATGTACTCTGAAGAGGCAAGTTGCTGTTGTCAGTAAACTTGAATTAGAAGCCTAACTCTGCCATTTACTAGTTCTGTGATCACAAGTTTTCATCTATATGAAGGATAATAAAAGTACCTATTTCATGAGGTTATTATTGAAAACTAAGATAACGCATGTCAATTGCTTAGCAAAATTCCTGATACTTAGAAAATATATTTAAAATGCTAGAGACTTAGGGGAGCCTGGGTGCCTTAGTCGGTTAAGCAACCGACTTTGGCTCAGGTCGTGATCTCATGGTTTGTGGATTCGAGCCCCCATTGGGCTGACAGCTCAGAGCCCGAACCCTGCTTCAGATTCTGTGTCTCTGTCTCTCTCTACCCTTCCCCCACTCATGCTCTGTCTCTCTCAAAAGAAATAAATAAACGTTAAAAAAAATTGTTTTAAGGTTAGACACTTATTATGTCCACTCTAGATAAAGCCTTTTGTTCATACCTCAGATAGACCTGATCGTATCATTACCCTACTTGCAACTTCATTGGCTTCTCACTGCCTTTAGAATTAACTTCAGACTTGGGGCGCCTGGGTGGTTCAGTCAGTTGAGTGTCTGACTTCGGCTTGGGTCATGGTCTCGCAGTTCATGAGTTTGAGCCCCACATCAGGCTCATTACTGTCAGCACAGAGCTCGCTTTGGATCCTCTGTCCCCCTCTTTCTGTCCCTCCCCCACTTGTGCTTTCTCTCTCTCAAAAATAGACATTAAAAAAATTTAAAAAAATAATTAACTCCAAACTTAACATAACTTATAAGGTACTCCAATAATCATCTCTCACCATTATTCCTCTTCAACTCTAAACTAAGCCTCATTAGACTTTAGTTCCTCAAACATGCCATACCCCCCTGCTTGCCTGTCTTTCACAGGAAGTTCATTTTGCACATACATTCTTTCTCATCTCTGAGATGAGTGTAAACATCTCTGGTGTATAAACACCACTTCTTCTGAGAGATCTTCCTTCATATGCTAACTAGTCTGGATCAACCAGCTTATTGTTCATGGAAATATCTTGCAACCACAAGGTTGCAATGTTCACCCCCAAGACTGAGGATGAAAGCCAAGATGCTGAGACTGGCCTTTTGGAAGGGTAAAACGGCCCAGATCTGCTTACCTCTAAACTCTTTGTTATATTAGCAAGGTATGTGTTCATGGTTTAAGCTAGATGCTGACAAACTACAACCTGTGGGCCAAATCTAGCCAGTTGCCCATTTTTGTAAGCAAACTTTTATTGCAATACAGCCATATCATTCATTTAACATTATCTATGGGCTGCCTTCGTGTTAAAAGGACACGCTTCAGTAGTTGCAAAAGAGACATATGGCCTAAGAAGCCTAAGTTATTTGCCATCTAGCCCTTTACAAAAAATATGCTGTCCTTGGTTCAAGCTACTATTGGTTAGGTTTTGTTACTATGACCAAAAGCATCCTAACTCATACAATGTTTCCATAACTTCCTAGTGAAACATCCGATTTCACTGTAATTACTTATACATCTTCCCTTCTATCTATGCTTATTCTGCCATCTGCATGAACTCTCCAAGTAGGACTGGCCTACTATCATGTTCCTATTACCAACATACTACTTGACAAATAGAAGGCACGTAAATATTGTTGACTGAACAAGCAAACGAATTAATGAATGTATATATCAAAAGCCAATCAATATTTATTAACAAGTAACATGTACATTAGGTACTCTAAATGATAAAAAAGAGATAAGATACATTCACTGCCCTGAATGGCTTAAAAAATCAGGTTTAGGAAATAAACATGTAAAAAAAAGAAATAAATTATTTCTGAAGCGAAGCAGGTACATCTGTACATATATAAACACTACCATATTAAATGTGTACACTGACCTAAAAAAATTCTGATTTTAGATTATACCAAAAGGTAAGAATTTGGTGTCCTCAACACTGACCAGGAGAGAAAATATCCTGATATAACACCACTGTATATTATGGTCCACTAAAACCATGGAAATTACTGAATCAAGCTACTCACAGCTTTTTAACATCAGTTCCCAGAGCCCTTCAACTGACACCTATTGTGGATTTTTTTTTTTTAACATTTATTTATTTATTTTGAGAGAGAGCAAGGGGGAAGGGCAGAGAGAGAATTCAGTGCAGAGCTTGATGCGGGACTCAAACTCATGAACCGCGAGATCATGACCTGAGCTGCAGTTGGATGCTTAACTGACTGAGCCACTCAGGCACCCTGACACCTCTTGCTTTGACCTTGCTCATTACCTTTGTTGAGATTTAAAAAATAATGATGAATACAACATTATTACCTTGTAGATCTATCATCCAGAATTCAGTCTTTTGAACATAATGAACACTGAGTCTAACCTGTAAAGCTAGCTGACCCAGATCTTCAAGATTGATGTTAACCATATGAGAATCATTCCTGAAACCACCCAACCTCCCTTTTTTATCCATGAACTCAATTTTCTTACCTTTAACATCCCCAAAATAATGCTTTACATAATTTCAATTTTGTACAACTGTATAATTATTCTGGTGAGGTGGAAAGCAAAAATTTAATGAGTAGTAAAAATCATATTCAGTCTTCTCATAGCCATGTACTATCTAAAGTGTAAACCAAAAGGAAAACAAAAAAAGAACAAGGAGCAAAGCAGTTCCTTGACTGACATAATTTATTCATCCTCAGTCAGTTATCTTCCAGTCTTAGAAACCTATTCTGTGTCCTCCACATCTATCATCCTCCTGACTTTCTCCTTTTACCAACAGATTTCTCCCACATCCTCTGATCTTAATTACACTCTACCACTTGAGCTAACATAGCCTCCCTAGCCTTATGGCCAGATATCCAACCCTATCTCCTCTCCTATAATATTCAACAACCCTTAAAACTAGAAAAAGACAGAAGTTAGAATTTTGCAGGAGCACAACTGGTCTATGTGCATTCATGGTTGTGAGGTGATCAGGAAAAAGAAAGTCACATAATGTTATCCTCTTCCAAAATCCACCACAAATTTATCATTTCAAGGAATCTGGCAGGTTTAAATAATATCACTAAATCTGAAAATAAGAAATTAACAGACAACTGTGAAAAAGGATGACATGAGTTCCACATTCTTTAATAAACTTAATTCCTCACAGAATCAAGATCTCAAGGAACTACATTCAAGACCCTGAAAAGTTCTTTAACACTGAAAACTGATCCATAAAGAAAAACATTTTTGTACTCAAGTATCACAGTGAATATACATGGGGCGTAGAAAGACTCACAAGGGGGGATAAATTCCAAGATGTTCTACTTCATATAATAAAAGACCCCAATGTCAGCTTTGAATAAAATAACAAACTATAATTTATACTATCAACCAAGATTTTCTTTCATTTTAACATCTTCTAATAAATAGTTATGAATGGATTCCAACCTCCAAATGTACAAAGCTAGAATAACTGGTTAATACCAACTCTGGAAAAAATAAATTCTGGGCCTCACACACATACACTCATTCTAATAAACACACACCTTAACAGTGACCAAGTCCCATTCTACATTGAAAGAGGCCTAACCAATAGTAACATGGTTATTAACATGGTTCTTTCCCTTTGTTTTACCTTTACCCTTTTCTCGTAACAGCTTTACAATAAATTAATAGACATTTTTAATCATGAGCTAGTCTTTAAATTTTAAATTCATATTCATGATAAGGAAATTGAATATAGAACTCTCCTAAAGAATTATGTAAATTTTTCTTTATTGACATACTAAGCTTTGATAGTGCCATTTATTTTGTGCTTCTAAAGCTTGTTATGTAAGTATTAAATGAAAAAAGGAATACAAAGGAAGAACAGTAAAAATCTGAGATAACCATTTTGATTTTATCCTTTCTTCTTTATCTACAGTATTCTTCTATTTTATCCTTCTAAGAAAAACCTCAGAGAATGAAAATTCAGTTTGAATATTGCCATGGAATCACTGAGTCATCACTGCTTAAGATTTACTTCAACTTACCCACGTTTGATGTTGTGTAATTCCTTGTCCTTGCATTTATCCTTCTCTTTTTCTCTTTTCTCCTTATCTCTGCCTTTACGTCTTTCTCTATCCCGAGACCGACTACGGGTTCTTCGGTGACTGGACCTTTCACTGCTTCGACTATGAGAACGTGGACGAGGTCTTGACCTAGACCTATAATAAGTAGAGTTTATTACATTCATTTAGATTATATTTTATATTATAAAATACAAATACTCTTTAAAACTATCTGAAAGAAAAGGATTTAGTTTTAGCTATGGATTTAGTAACTAACTGTGAAGTAATAAGCATCTGTATAGGATTCTTTATGAATAAGTACACTCAATTAAAATGACATGAGGGAGGGGTGTCTGGGTGGTTTGGTCGGTTAAGCAGGTTAAAGCATCTGATTCTTGATTTTGGCTCAGGACACAATTTCATAGCTCATGGGATGGAGCCCCATGCTGATAGCACTGAGCCTGCTTAGGATTCTCTCTCACTGCTGTTGTTTAACATAGTGTTCGAAGTGCTAGCATCAGCAATCAACAACAAAAGGAAATCAAAGGCATCAAAATTGGCAAAAATGAAGTTAAGCTTTGACTTTTTGCAGATGACGTGATATTATACATAAAAAACCCGAAAGACTCCACCGAAAGTCTGCTAGAACTGATACAAGAATTCAGCAAAGTCGCAGGATACAAAATCAATGTACAGAAATCAGTTGCATTCTTATACACTAATAATGAAGCAACAGAAAGACAAATAAAGAAACTGATCCCATTCACAACTGCACCAAGAATCATAAAATACCTAGGAATAAACCTAACCAAAGATGTAAAAGATCTATATGCTGAAAACTATAGAAAGCTTATAAAGGAAACTGAAGAAGATATAAAGAAATGGAAAAACATTCTGTGCTCATGGATTGGAAGAATAAATATTATTAAAATGTCAATACTACCAAAGCAATCTACACATTCAGTGCAATCCCAATCAAAATTGCACCAGCATTCTTCTCAAAGCTAGCACAACCAATCCTAAAATTTGTATGGAACCACAAAAGACCCCGAATAGCCCGAAAAGTAATATTGAAGAAGACCCCGAAAGTAATATTGAAGAAGACCAAAGCGGGAGGCATCACAACCCCAGACTTTAGCCTCTACTACAAAGCTGTAATCATCAAGACAGCATGGTATTGGCACAAAAACCGACACATAGACCAATGGAATAGAATAGAGAATCCAGAACTGGACCCATAAAAGTATGGCCAACTAATCTTTGACAAAGCAGGAAAGAATATCCAATGGAAAAAAGAGTCTCTTTAACAAATGGTGCTGGGAGAACTAGACAGCAACATGCAGAAGAATGAAACTAGACCACTTTCTTACATCATTCACAAAAATAAACTCAAAATGGATAAAGGATCTGAATGTGAGACAGGAAACCATCAAAACCCTAGAGGAGAAAGCAGGAAAAAACCTCTCTGACCTCAGCCACAGCAAATTCTTACTTGACACATCCCCAAAGGCAAGGGAATTAAAAGCAAAAATGAACTTGGGACCTCGTGAAGATAAAAAGCTTCTGCACTGCAAAGGAAACAATCAACAAAACTAAAAGGCAAACGACAGAATGGGAAAAGATATTTGCAAATGACATATCGGACAAAGGGCTAGTATCCAAAATCTATAAAGAACTCACCAAACTCCACACCCAAAAAACAAATAATCCAGTAAAGAAATGGGCAGAAGACATGAATAGACACTTCTCTAAAGAAGATATCCAGATGACCAACAGACACATGAAAAGATGCTCAATGTCACTCCTCACCAGGGAAATACAAATCAAAACCTCACGCCAGTCAGAGTGGCTAAAATGAACAAATCAGGAGACTATAGATAGATGCTGGCGAGGATGTGGAGAAACAGGAACCCTCTTGCACTGTTGGTGGGAATGCAAACTGGTGCAGCCGCTCTGGAAAACAGTGTGGAGGTTCCTCAAAAAAATTAAAAGTAGACCTACCCTGTGACCCAGCAATAGCACTGCTAGGAATTTACCCAAGGGATACAGGAGTGCTGATGCATAGGGGCATTGGACCCCAATGTTTATAGCAGCACTTTCAACAATAGCCAAATTATGGAAAGAGCCTAAATGTCCATCAACTGACGAGTGGATAAAGAAATTGTGGTTTATATACACAATGGAATACTACATGGCAATGAGAAAGAATGAAATATGGCCTTTGTAGCAACGTGGATGGAACTGGAGAGTGTTATACTAAGTGAAATGAGTCATACAGAGAAAGACATATACCATATGTTTTCACTCTTATGTGGATCCTGAGAAACTTAACAGAAGACCACGGGGGAGGGGAAGGGAAAAAAAAAAGGTTAGAGAGGGAGGGAGCCAAAACATAATCAGGATATATTATGTTTTCTCTTAAACAGGAAAATAATGTTTTCTCTTAAAAACTGAGAACAAACTGAGGGTTGATGGGGGGTGCCCATGTAGGGCAGCTAAAACTCCAATACAAAACTTTAGGATTTCCAGCCAGAAAAACCAATAGAAAGACTCAGGGCAACCATCGCAAAAGGAAAATGAAAGGGGAATCCTGAAAGACTGAGAGGAGGGAGCCACAAATTCTAGATGTATATACTCTACTCAAATCTTGGGCTAAACCCTACATTTTGCAAATGAGGGAACAACTCCAAATAGCTAAGGGTAAAAGAACTAAAAATTTCAAATGCCCCCAGAGAGACAGGATTTTTGCAATTTTAATTCAACTAAATTTCGTGCTAAAACAAACAAGTAAACAAAAAAATCAATATTTTTTGAAGAATATAGCAGAATCCAGACTTTTCAAAATATGACACTCACCATGTCCAGGATAAAATTACTAGATAATATAACAAAGCATGAAAAATGTGATCCAATCTGAAGAGAAAAGATAGTCAATAGAGATTAACCCTGAGATGAGCCAAATGTTAGCAATAGCACAAGGATTTTAAAAAAGCATAACTATGCTTGCAATAAATACAGAAATCTCAGCAGGAAAACTAGAAAATGAAAAAAAAGTAATTCTATAACTAAAATTCTATAACTAAAAAATATAATATCTGAAATTTAAATTATGCTGAATAAGATTAAAGTCTACTAATTAGTAATAACAGAGGAAAGAATCTGTATACCTGGAAATAAATCAATCAAAACTACCCAAACTAAAGAACTAAGATGAAAAAAAAAAAAAAAAAAAAAAAAGACCGTCAATAAGAAAAACAGATCCTCCAGGATCTCCATGACGATATCCAAATGTCTAACATGGTTAAACACAGAAGGAGAGAAAATATTAAAATAAAGAACAATTTATTTTTGTGGTGGCTATAATATCCCCAAGTTTAGTGAAAAACAAGTTATCAGATCCTAGAAGTTTAGTGAACCCCAAGATAAATATAGATATCATGACTATTGATGAAACCAATGAAAACCAAAAGTAAAGAGAAATCTTGAAAGTATTCAGAAAAAAAACTGACACAACACATACAGGAAGGAGAGCAATGATAGTCGTTACTGCTGGCTTCTCATCAGATACAGTGGAGACCAGAAGACAGTAGAACAAAGTTCTTAGTTAACATAGTGAAAGAAAACATTCAAACCAGAATTTCATATTTAGCAACAACATGCCTCAAAAACTAAAAGTAAAATACAGACATTTTTGAGGTAACGGGAAGAATAAACCATAATCATCAATAGTAGATCTGTACTACAGTAAGTTCTAAAATAAGTTCTTTGGGATGAAAAGAGTGATGACAGGGGCGCCTGGGTGGCGCAGTCGGTTAAGCGTCCGACTTCAGCCAGGTCACGATCTCGCGGTCCGGGAGTTCGAGCCCCGCGTCAGGCTCTGGGCTGATGGCTCAGAGCCTGGAGCCTGTTTCCGATTCTGTGTCTCCCTCTCTCTCTGCCCCTCCCCCGTTCATGCTCTGTCTCTCTCTGTCCCAAAAATAAATAAACGTTGGAAAAGAGTGATGACAGATGAAAACCTGGGATCTTTAGGAAGGAATGAAGACCATTGGAAATGGTAAATATATGGGGAAATATAAAAAACCATTTCCTTTATTTAAAATACATATATGTGCTTAAAGTAAAAATATACAAGTTTCACTGTAGAGTTTATAATGAAAGTAGATAGAGTATATATCATCTCTATAAAAAAAACTATGCAGCAGGTAAATGGAGACCTGAGGTTTCTACATTTTGCATGAATGGTGAAATAGTAACTCTAAGTACACTGAAATGGTAAGGGCATCTATACAATCCTTAGAACAATCACTTAAAGAAATAAAAGAAGAAATGTAAATATGTACAGCTAAAAAGCCAAAATATGAGCTAAATAAGAATTCATTTTTTTTAAATGCTTATTTACTTATTTTGAGAGCAGAGAAAGGGCAGAGAGAGCCAGGAAGAAAGAATCTCAAGCAGGCTCCACAATCAGCATGGACCCAACATGGGACTCAATCTCATGACCCTGGGATCACAACCAGGAGATCACAACCTGAGTGCCGATATGGAGTCCAACACTTAACTGACCAAGCCCCCAGGTGTCCCTAAACAAGAATTCTTAAAAATATTCATTATTCTAGGGGCGCCTGGGTGGCGCAGTCGGTTAAGCGTCCGACTTCAGCCAGGTCACGATCTCGCGGTCCGGGAGTTCGAGCCCCGCGTCGGGCTCTGGGCTGATGGCTCAGAGCCTGGAGCCTGTTTCTGATTCTGTGTCTCCCTCTCTCTCTGCCCCTCCCCCGTTCATGCTCTGTCTCTCTCTGTCCCAAAAAAATAAATAAACGTAAAAAAAAATTAAAAAAAAAATATTCATTATTCTAAAAGGAGGCTGGAAAAGAAGTACAAAGAAATAAAAATCAGAGGGGCAAACATAAAATAAATATATATTATATGAATATAAAATACATAAAATACATAAAAACATACATATAAAATACATAAAATAGAGATATATCAGATAGTAGACTTAATATATCAAATATATCAATATCAAATATGTATACCAAATATATCAATAAATACCTTAAACACTAATAAATACTTTAAATAAAAAGAGATTGTCCAAATGATTCAAAAAGCATCACACAACTACATGCTGTCTACAAGATGTTTACTTTAAATAT